AGCAACAGCTCAATATCTACCTGGTTCTAGTTCAGCAACAGCTCCTTGTCCACCTGGTTTTAGTTTAGCAACAACTCATTATCCACGTGGTCCATTATTAGCTGCAGCTCAATATCCACCTGAATTTCGTTTAGCAACAGCTTCGTATCCATTTAATCAAAATTTAGGAACAGCACAGTATCCACCTGATCGAAGTTTAGCAACAGGTCCATATCCACCTGGTTCAAATTTAATAACAGCTTCTTATCCATCTAATCAAAGTTTAACAACAGCTCAGTATCCAATTGATCCAAGTTCAGCAATAGTTCAGCATCCATCTGGTCAATATTTATCTCCAACAAATAATTTACCAGGTCAACATCCCAATGCACAAGTTTTATTACATCCTGCTCATAATGTTGGTTCATCGCAAGAAACCGAAAATATAGAAGCATGGTTATAAGAAGAACAGTAGATTTTTTTTTAAACTGTCAAAAAACAAATAAACTTTTCAGACTCGGTGACATCTCTTTTGAACCATGTTCTCTAACTACTAGTAGGTTGAGATATTATTGATGGACAAAACCGAATTCGACGATTGTTTCTCTTTTTTATAATAAGAAAATTTGACATATTCAGACAAGTATTCTATTCATCCATTATTTCAATAACATCTGGTCCTTGTTGAGTAGCTGCCATATAAGACATTATTTGTTGAGCAAAATGTGGATAATCATTAAACATTGAAGCAATATTTTGTCCACTAGTCATCATTCGTTGTATATATATAAGACGTTCATTCATTAGTTGTTGTTCGTAAATTTCTGGTATCGATGAAACCGATTGTTGTTGTAGTTAATCTGCATCCATATTCATTTTTTGTTGATCATTTAAATCACCGAGTCAATTATTCATATTCATGACTGGACCTTTTAATTGTTGCATATTTATGGCAATTTTAAGTACTGATGATGATGATGCATCAACAACCATTGATGGCATATTAATTGTTGATACAGAATATTGTGTCGGTAAATTATGAACATTTTGATGTTTATGATAATAATCAGGATCAACAAGATATATATTTGATTATGAACAAGCTGCACTGGATAGTGTCATTGATAAAACTGATCGAGATGCAATATGACTTAAACTATCCTCACCAACATAAGTCAAACTAAATTAATTAATATATTATTATGATTATTTAGATGAAAAAGAATGCACCGTTCAAATGCATTATCTGACATGCCAAGAGCATTAATAAATTCGGTACTACCTAACAATAGATTATTTGATTTTATTTCAAATGATAAAAAGTTTTTTTCTTATGATCAGATGATGTTACACAAATAGGTTCATTGGTAAATTCTGTATGAAAGTAACTCGTATCTGTATCTGAGTCAAGTTCTGGTTTAAAAAAAAGGTGAAATCTTAAAAACTTTTCTTTTTATTTAAAAGTTTATTTGATATGAAAAAAACAGACCTTTTTCTATTTATAGAAACCCAATGAAATATTACAAAAGAATAGATGACGTTCAACCTCACAAACATCTTCTACTCCTGAACTAATACTAAAATTTAAAAAAATAATAATTTATTGAATAAATATTTCTTTTTTCTTGTTTACCGTTGAGTTGGTTCTTTTTCAAGAAACTGTTTGATCAAATCAAGTGCAGCTGATAATAAACTAGATGGATATGTTGGTGCAAGATTAAGAATTTTTTAAAAAAGATTATCTTGACTTTTACTTTCAGCAAATAGTAATTGACCAATAAGACATTCATACATAACGATACTAACACCCCACGAATCAATCGCGTGTGTATACGATGTCGTTCGAAGAATCTATTCATATAATACAGTTTTTTTCAGTTAGATTTTATTACAAAAATTTACCGTATTTTATTTCTATAAAAACCGGTTGTAGAACAATACAAAACGTAGAATTTAACCAATGAAGAGTAACTTTTAATAAAGCACAAATCTTATAGGATATTATTCACGTCTTGCAAGACACAAAAGAGT